GACTATATTTTTTTCATTATCTATTATCAACAAGGTAACGAATCTTACTCCAAATTAACGTGAGTATTTTTTGATGTAGATGGAAGATCGACTAGGGAAATTCCACGAGGACGTGAAAAATGGTAGCATGGCCGACTATGAAAAACACGCCGTCACCGGTCAGGTCCGCCACTGTGCTCTACGTCAGGGTTAAGAAAAAGAAGGTGACGCGACACGGATGGTGGGGGAGTGGAGGACACTTGGACAAAGAGAGGGCATGGTCACGCATGGAGACGAACGTTGAGAAGTGCTGTAGCTAAAATTCATAATTATATAAATTATTTTGCGTTATCTTATGGTAGTTTTATTGAGTTAAAAGGGTGAAGTTTATATTATATTCAATTTTAGCTTAAGGTATGATTGCGGGTTGGAGCCTGTTTAGAAGTGACCATAGAATTGAGGGTAATTGGACAGCTGAAGTGATTGGATATCAGTTCGTCGTGAGAAGTCTGCACATGAGTAATGTTTTCGATTTTTCCAATTTGTAAGTAAATATTAATCTGCCATCAGCGATCCAGTTGTATTTGAACTGTTCATTTTGGTATATTAGAAGTATCTCAAAAGCAGGGGTATCTGGTAGATTCCATCTCAAGAAGCTCTTCGATCCACGATAGGCACAATTTGAAATTATGTATTTAAGTGGGAGGGTACCAGTTTCGATTCAAATTAGCCAGCCTGGAGTTGATCTGGGTAAGGACAGTGATGTTTTGAAGTGTGGTTTGTACCTTTTCCAGAGTTTATATTACGAAAACTCTCGTATGGCCCAAATCGGCATGCAGTGTGCGAATGAGTTGATTACCATAGATTCAAACTTCAACATCTTTGTTTTAATATGTATCTGCCAGATTAAACTTTAGTCACTTCGGACCGGTTTATCAGTGAACGCTTACGCTAGTTTGGCTGTCGGTTTCCCAATGATATTATAAAGTTAACCAACACATAAACTCAATAACCACCCTCTGATAAACCGGTTTTAAATCCAATAACATTCGGCACGGATAAACTGAAAACTTTTAGAGAGGTCTTACTTTAGCTTTTATCCCAAGAAAACGACTTCAGCGTGCCAAATTTCAAAGCTTAAAGGAAAATTTATTCCAGATCGTAGCTTCAGAGTCGAGAGTCTTTAATTTTCGATTAACTTGCACCAAGAGGGAGATTTTGGTGTTTTTGACTCTTCATGGACATAGGCACCTAATTTTCAATGCTTCTCTGAATCTATTATTAGCTTTTAATTCATCAAATAATCTCCAAAAGAACACGAAGAAAGCGTTACAACCTGACTCCATAAGATAGAAATATGTATATCATACACAAATTTAAGAGTGATGTGAAAAGGGCAAAGTAGCCCAGTTATACCAATATACCGGGTGACCACGAGATTACTGACCAAGCTCTAGTTCAGGCATGAGTATCAATATCGATTTCAAGTTTTGAGGATGTATATTATTGATATCGATGCAGAATTTCGCTATAAAAACAATCGACTATCGCTTTTGGTTTGACCGCAAGTGCCATCAACTTCTTTATTTCAACTAGATCACCCCCCTATATTATTACATTTTTGGATTCTATGAGAAATTCTAAGCATATTTTATGTATAATATCCTATACCTAACTTAAACAGTTTTCGAGAAAATCGCGATTGAAAATGTCAAAAAATAATTTTTATTTTAGTTTTGACAGCAAACAATGGAAAGAAGGTTGAAGCTTTTACGATATTTTTAACTCATTTTAGAAGCACTAAAGGGTGCCACCACAAAAATATCAGTTCCGGTTCAATCGAAGGTTTTCGGTCGGTCTACTTTTGAGGTTATGTTACTGCAATAATTTCAATGGTATCCCATACTTAGAACTGAAAATTCGTATTCTAGGAACAATTTTGAATCTTTTTTGTATACGCTTTCCTATACCTAAAGTCTACTGTTTTTGAGATATTTTACAGTATTGTTCACGTTTGTATTGTTCACGTTTGCGTCCCTAACTTTTTGGACTATTTGCGACCTTTGGGTAAGAGTGCAAATCGGGATTCAAGGAACACAACAAATGAGACTTATCTTTTAAACTGCATTCTGTGTGATCTATTTAAATAAACTTATAAAAAGGATTAAAATTAATGCTGTTAATACTGTTTTTGGTATTCGTTGTTCCAAAGACATCCTTACATCAAGTGTCAAATATCTCAAAAACAGTAGACTTTAGGTATAGGAAAGCGTACACAAAAAAGATTCAAAATTGTTCTTAGAATACGAATTTTTAGTTCTAAGTATGGTATACCATTGAAATTATTGCAGTAACATAACCTCAAAAGTAGATCGACCGAAAACCTTCGATTGAACCGGAAGTTTTATTTTTGTTGTGGGACCCTTTAGTGCTTCTAAAATGAGTTAAAAATATCGTAAAAGCTTCAACCTTCTTTCCATTGTTTGCTGTCAAAACTAAAATAAAAATTATTTTTTGACATTTTCAATCGCGATTTTCTTGAAAACTCTTAAAGTTAGGTATAGGATATTATACATAAAATATGCTTAGAATTTCTCATAGAATCCAAAAATGTAATAATATAGGGGGTGATCTAGTTGAAATAAAGAAGTTGATGGCACTTGCGGTCAAACCAGAAGCGATAGTCGATTGTTTTTCTAGCGAAATTCTGCATCGATATCAATAATATACATCCTCAAAACTTGAAATCGATATTGATATTCATGCCTGAACTAGAGCTTGGTCAGTAATCTCGTGGTCACCCGGTATATATATTTTTAGTATTTTTTTTTATTATCAAAGTCGCATTGTAAAAATATTTTGAATCTAGATTTTAGATATGGAATTTCTATTGTATTTTCTATCTTGTACTGATATTAAAGCTCTCAAAGGACCCCGCACACCTCTTATGTATTTTTGGTTTTCTGTCAAACTCAATGAAATTTTAAGATGTGGTATATCTTGACTGCCTGATGAAAAGTTCTCATAGGCCCAATCCGATATTATGAATAGTTTTCGAGATACAGGTAATTTAATGTTCAAGAAATGTACACATTTTATATGCATTTACATCTACCTGTCAACTGAGCGTGTGAATACCTGTCAATCCTGGTATATTATTAGGTGACAGGTAGATGAAGACAAGATGACTATTGAATATTATGTAGAGGGTGTTTTTTTATATATTGACACCCCACCTACAGCCTTTACCTTTACAGGTAGATGAAAGGTGTAAATGCAAAAGTTGTACAGTATTGGCTAAATTTTTAGAATCCATAGTCCGAAACAAAAATTGAATGTCAGAAATGTGAAATATTGCATGCTTTCATCTTTTTTTAAATGGGATGCGCTATATTTGGTTCTATATTCTTGAAGAGCACAATTTCCCGATTCCAAAACTATATAGTTTGTCTATATTTGGTTGAGCCGTCTCCAACATATTTGGTTCTAAAAATTTTAAAAATACTATCAGAAAAACCAAAGTACCTCAAATTTTACCTGCAGCCTCCAGCTATTCAGGTAGAATGGTTCACAAAATCAGTAGTAGGATAGTATTTTTACAATTTTTGGAGCCGAATATATGAGAGATTGCTGAATCAAATATAGATCGGGGCATTGTGCTCTTCAAGAATATAAAATGAAATATAGGGCATCTCATTTGAAAAAAACTGGAAGCATGCAAAATTTCACATTCAAACTTTGTTGGTTTCTAAAAATTCAGCCAATATTGTACCACTTTTGTATCTACACCTTTCTTCTACTTGTAAAAGTGAAGGCTGTAGGTAGGGTGTCAATATATAAAAAAAACACCCTGTACAAATAAGTGGATTATTGCGGAACTTATGGTTGGACCTCCTTGGACAGCCATCTACTCACGAATATACTGTTGAACTGTTCAAATAAGACACTCGCCTGAAACATGTAGTTTTTGAACTAATGAGAAGAATTCACAACTGAGTGAATCAGGTTAGTATTGTACTTGAACAACATATTGGTAAATAGATGGCTGGATCCACCCATTAGTTCCGCAACATTCCACTCGTTTGTACTTGAATAACTTGTCACAATATATAACTAGTTTGGTAAAGTAACATTACTAATTCCTGTTGAAAGGCGATTTGACAAAAAGTGGATAATCTTCCAAATTCTGACTTTGTATAATAAGTTATTTTTCAAGTACAAATAAGTGGATTGTTGCGGAACTTATGGGTGGACCTCTGCGGGACGAGCGCAGCGAGTTCCGCAGCCATCTACTCACCAATATACTGTTGAGCTTTTTATTAGGAAGTCAAGATATACCAGGTATCAAAATTTCATTGAGTTTGACAGAAAACCAAAAACCCATAAGAGGTGTGCGGGGTCCTTTATAGAAATATAAAGATGAAAGCTCTAAATATCGGCGTTCTCGCTAGACTGAAGGGAATTTTCAATGAAGAAGCAGAAACAGAAGCTCCATATGCGATTACCATTTATCATACCATCTCTTTGTTATTTTGGTACTGATTTACGGAAATTTAGTCCAAAAAAGAAACATAAATTAAACTGCCTAAATTCGGACGAAACTTCTACTGTTTGTAATTATTGTGAACACCAAAAATTAAATTCTAGCGAAATAAACGAAAAAAAACTTTGGGAACCTAATATACCGTACAGCTATTCACATCCGTATAAAACATATTAGGGAGCTAATAAACACCACATCAATCTAACATAGAACTCACGTGGCCTCTCTATTTCTTAGCAACTTGTGGATTCTCGGTGTTGGATTAGAACGCGATGCCGATCATAGTTCATTCCTCCTTTTCCTTGGTCTGATATTACAGACTTCTTTTGAATTTCTATTTAATCCTTTATGTTGTTAAAATGAGTAAAGAGACAAAAAAAAAAGTGCAACTACTTAAAAAAAATTACGAATATGAAGGGGGTTTTCACATAAATGGGTATACATAAAAAAAGACACAAACAGTTACATGAAAACTTACATTACAGAACAAAAATCAGTTCGTTCTTGGAAAAAAAATTGTTCGAAAGTCTAGCGCCACGGATTTCTACATAGAGCGAGAAGCAGGACACGCACACTGTGGCATCAAAGTAGAATGATATAAAGCGAAAAGCGAAGCGCGTCTATATTTTTAGAGCCAGACTCTGGATCCGACGCTGGTTCGTTTACGACTGACGTCGCAGCGCGCACCAGCCGGCGTGGTGCCTCTACAGAATTGATCTCGGCCGATGCCAGCCGGGAATCACGGGAAGGAGCCTCCTGCCTGGATGTTGGAGGCTCTCCCCAAAAACAAGCCGGGTCCAACAGGTACAGATCATGTTTCTCGAGTCGGGAGGGACGTAGGAGGGAAAAAAACGGCATTTTGAGGAGAGCGACTTAATTTCCTTGATGGATTGTGTTTTTTGTGTATGCTTTTTCAACCCCTCTCTAAGTCATCGCTTCATGTTTTTGAATATTTCATTTTATCAGATGGTTTAATGATTTTTTAGTTAACAGTTGAAGGCGAGGCAATGTGGGTCACATTTAAAAATTTGATTATACTGAGTTTTTCAATTACAGCGTCGTCGATATTGTCTTCAGGAGCGACCAACTGGATTGTAATCTCGCTCGCTTAATTACTTACGTACAATGGAAGAATCTCAAAATAGAGTCAATATATGCTAATAATATGTATCCGATTTACCAAGCACACGTCATGTTTCCTCGAGAGGGCATTTTTTCTTTATGATGGAAAATGTTTTCAAAAAAATGGAAATTGACTTAATTTGGTAGAGCTCTAAGGGATTTTTTTTATATCAACAGGGCCCCTTTCGAAACCGTGCACGCGAACCTTGAAGTCACGTAGCTCAAAAAATACTTACAAGATAAGACAAAGACAAATTGCATGTACTTTAATTGAGACAAAAAAAACATTTCCTTCACATGACTATAAAATAATTTGAAGGGCATAAGAAAAATACACCTATACTTAGTATAAATAAGGATTTAGAAAGTAAAGTGTGACTGAGGGAAACTTAGCTTTAAGCTCACTCACCCAAAGCGTCAAGGGAACGTGACGTTGAGCCTTAAGTTTTGTTATTTGAAACACCAAACATTTTGCAACATACATAGATACCAGTTCCAAATTATTTGACTCTCTTGGAGCTTCCAATACTTTTTTTTTGAGGTCCTCTCTCCAATAGGATGTCAAAATGTTGAAAGACATTCGTGGAATTTTTTTTATGATTCATAAAAAAAATTATGAGTCATATTAAATAATTTGTCTACGACAACACAAGTTTTCTTAAACGTAGCACTAACTGTTAAAACTCGTACTACGGGTTTGTATTGTTTCTGGTCATGACCAGATTACGCAATACCTGTGGTTTTGCTCAAAGACAACAAATAAACCAGACTTCTCAATCATTAAGTACTGGTATACCGGTTGAGTTTATTAGCTCTTATAATAGTAAGCGAAAGTACGCACAACAACTCAGTTTATTTTGTAACCCCTTTTGTTAATGAATTAACAAGAGGCCCATAATATGCTCAGTTTGCTCAGCGAATAATTATTGGGGATTGGGTTGATAGTTTAATAAGTAGGTACAGAATGGCAAGTGCGCCACTGAATTTAATAAAAAAAAAAAAAAAAATACATAAAATATTGGGGTGCGAAAATTCAGAAACACTCCTAAAAAAAAATAACCAGAAAACGGTAATTGGTAATTCTGAAAAGGAAATAAATACGGCATATAACTCAACTAAATCTTGACACAGGTAAACCAATAATACAATTAAGAGGGTTTCAAATTAAATTAGTGTATATTTCATGGTAAGGTCGAAAATCAAGTATTGGATAATTTCAAAGTATAAAATCAATTATTGCTGGTAAAACACTTAAAATCAAATCAATAAAAAGAGGTTAACTTCCAATCAGATTCATCAAGCTCCAAAAAAAAAACAATGTATAGTTGCCATATAAATTCATTAACAGTCGCTGGCCATTTCATTATCATGAAATGAAAATATAATAGATTGTAGTTTCCAGAAAACTAATTTTAAACAAAAAAAAATGAATGATTGAAAATTATAATATTATATGGATAAATATGGTCAGCTGCTGCCAGTAAGTAAAATCAATAAAATCAAATTGCACCTGTATGAAATCAAAAATTGGGTTAAATGGTCAGGAGATAAAACAGAAATCCTCCAATATATAAGTTATAGGACCCAGGGTTAAAAATTGATCTATTTTCGACGATATAGGTACGTACTCAAATATTTAAAAGTTAGAACATGTTGTCCCACATTGACTTCAGTTCAAATCATTGCTTATAAGTTATTCATAACAAAATTTACATTCCTAAAATATGACAATATTAAAAGTTAAGCAAAGACAAATCTATAATAAATTCGATAAATCAAAAATAAATTATTCCACCGTCACCTCGGTGTCAAGAATGAGAGATTTTAAATGTGTATATAAGTCATATCAAAAAAATAGTGCATTATACACCTAGGGAGTACTCTTAATCCCGAAACCAAAAGTTTATAATTTGTCGAGGGATTGAAAAACACTGTGGTCCTGAAGTGTATTACACTATTTTATGCACTCTACTTTATTTCTCGGGGATTAAATAAAAGAGGGAATGACAGGGTACTTTTATTCCCTCTGTTTCATTTAATCCCCGGGAAATAAAGTGAAATTCAATCCCGGGGATTAAAAGACCCACTTTACTCCCTTAAAACAGGGATTAAAAGGGTACTTTTAATCCCTGAAGTGTATAAAATCAATTAATTTTGGTAATTAACTATAGAGCAGATTTCATTAAAAAAATATATTAAAAGTTATTAATGAAACTTTATACAAGCCTCCATTCCAACTAGAAGGTAGAGCACGGTAGCCATCCATTCTGGACCGTTCGACGAGGGAAGCTACAAGTTGAAGTCGCAAACTTCAGCCTGGAATAATGGCTTGAAGTTCAGTTTCCTTCGTCAAATGTGGGAGTACACCTATCGACTCGTGTGGGACTTGATTCCTCTAGGCATCCCTTCAAAAACTCTATGCCACGCTCCACGAAAATGGTGCTCTCTTAAAACTATGGCCTTTAAGAAATGGATTTGTTGAGAGAAATGGCTCCTCAGAAAAATAGCTCCTCGGAAAACCCTAAGTAATAGAGACATTCCATGAACAGCCATTACCTACTTTAAGAAAATTGAAAAAGACTAACCACGAGCGGTTCGAAATTCAAACTTGAATAAAACGGTAATGACGAGACTTCTTATTCAATTTTTTTCGATAATCAATGGATTATTGCCTCACGCAACTTTATTTCGTTAAAATAATGCCTGATGGCCGATAAGGTACGTTTTCCACGAGAACGGTAATCGATATTATATTTCACTTATGGCGTTTCCGATTGGTAGATTCAATACGCACTAAGTGTATTTGCATCCTTTTAATCGATCTTTACAAGAAAAAAAAACAGAAATAAAAAAAATTGCACTAGTTCCACACTAGATCTACCAATCGGAAACGCCATTAGGAAGATGGCTACTCCCTTAGCCAGAGTCGACCTTTCAACTCGAACGGCACAATTTAAAAGGGCTGAGAAAAGGACAAACTGAGCAAGCTAAGCTTTCCGTCAAAAAAATAGCAAACGGAAAGTGTTGGTACTAAACTGGTACCTACTTCAAACTTAAACGAAAATCGTGCCCTCTAGTTTAATAAATTGCTATTATTATTGGCGACAGAAATCATCTTTTTTTCTTAATGCCAGTCACCAGACTGTCAACATTAGCTTATAAAATTTATATGTGAAAAAGAAAAACAGTAACATGTAACATGTTATTTACTTATTTATTTATTAATAATGTGTCTTTTATTTATAATGAGTAACATATCAATAACTTAAAATTACTATATTACAAAAATTTTACATCCGTTTCCTTTAAAGCGTACGGGCCATGGCCTTTATTCAAAATGATTGATTACTTATTATTCACATGAAAAAGTAGAAAGGACTCGAGGTCCAGTGATCTTAAAGTAGTCCTTTTGGATCACCTTGTGCTTAGGTCTATATGGCATTGTTTCCAGTGTGTACGAGTCTATTTGATTTGTAATCTCCACAGTTTTTATTGTAACTATGAAGAATTTTCTTTCCCAATTGTACCTCTGCGAGTGGCTTGACGATACGGTTTGAGTGAACTCGTTGGTTCATCCAGAACTGGTCCCAGGAGTAATGTCAACCCTATTTGCTGACCATACACATAATCTGCTTAATTCGCCTTTCTATACCTATTATAAATATCGCTGCTCGCCTAGATTTGTTAGTCAGTTGAATTATAATTATATTCCTTATTTTTAACCTTTGTAACGCGTAACGCGAAAGTACTGTATTGTAAATTAGTAGATAAATTATTTTTTGAAAAACTAGTTATCGGCTTACGGATTGACAACTGGCGCAGTCGTCCGGATTTTTGTGTTTGGGAACTGGTTCACGAACTTTTCGGATATCCGACTAACCAGGAACTCGAATCTACACCCTTGTGTTAGAATCGTATTAGATGTTTGCGGAGAAGTGTCGGAGTGGCTTTACGAAATCGAAAACCAAAGAACCACCTTCAAGCAATCGGAGTATTGGACCAAAATAGCCAATACTCGCGAGGACCAGGATTGATTTGGAAGGATAAACATAGCCTACCAGAAATTCTTGGCCTTATAAATGTTGCTCTACGGAATAATTTTCATGTTATTGCAATGTGCAATTTATATTTGCTTCAATGTCTGATATTGATGAATTAACAGAAAATGTATTATCCTCATCTCTACCTTCAACTGACTCCCCTTCTGATACAGAAGAGTTTATAAGAAATATTAGTCAAACATTAAATAACAGTGCTGCAGATACTGCTACAGGCACTAATAATCAAAATAATTTAAGTTCAAATAATTTTAATACAAGTAACGATAGGTATGGCTCAATTTAAACCGTGCGTACTTG